GCGAGGGTTTGCTGGTAAGACCATTCCACTAAATTCTCCTGGTAGACACAAAACATACTTCTCATTTCCCAGGACAGCTTATGGCAGTTCCACAAAACGGAAAACAATTGCCCTGGCAAAAGGACTTTTTCCCTGTACAACTCCATTCACACTAGGGCTTTCACAGAACAGTTATGCCAGTCAGGGTGTGACCAAAATATATTTTGCTGTGAACAAAGCTTTTAAGCATTAGGGATAAGCTTCTAAAACAAACTTTCAAAGAGGCCTACAGCCCTAATCTTTGCTTGACAGACACAGTATACATTCCTAGTAAAGAACATTAAACCATAAACAGAACAGCATACAAAGAAAACTGAGTGCCAGGTTATCAAAAGTTTCGTAGAAGAGACAATATTCAAAAGCACAAAGGCAAACGGCCCTTCCTCTGTGGAGGAAAGACAGGACGTGAATTTAAATGCCAGCTCAGCTCCAGGGAGGTGTTCTCCATTGACCTAAAAAATGGAGACTGAACCCAAAAGTGAAAGTAAGAACATATGGCCAAGCAGGTGATATTGGATGGTTACTGAAGAAGAGCACACAAGTATTTAAAGATAAAAATCAGAAATGCTTAATACAAACTGAACTGCAAGTTGCAAGAGGCATAAAAGGCAGTAAGAAAAGGCTCTATAAATGCAGTAGAAGGAAAAAAAAAAGCCACAGATGGAAGTACAGAACCACTAGCAGTGAGATATGTTGATGAAACCAACAAGGCTGAACTATTCAATCTTTTCTTTGCGTATACCTTTCCCTCCCCTCCCCACCCCTCAAACTTTAATTGGGGGACAGGGGATAGGACCACAGGCCAGGAAAAGAATAGGCCTACCATTTAATCCTCACTCATTTAGTAAGTCATAATATATTAAACAGTTTAACAGAACACCAGAAATAATGCACGAGTTAACAATACAGAGAGCAGCTACACCAAACATGAGTAAAAATGCAGTCACACCGATAGGAAATACCAAAAAACCTCAGAAATGAGAAGGTACAGAGAAGTAAGAAATCAGCCAAAGCTTTCCTTAGGCAACAGTCAGCCAACTTGTTCATCAACAGCTAATACAGAATGTGATAACGCTATACAAAAATGAGAAAATTATATAACCAATAGATGGATGTATCTTATACAGGTTAAGATCACTTCGCAGGGTTTTCGCTTAGCTTATACAACTTGAGAAAACTTTATACTGGTGATGAGATGAGAAGAAAAGATTTTGGTATGAGATGCTGTTGCACTCTCATTGAGCGTGTATTCATGCGAAGCTTCTCATCTGTAGATACCCCAAGTTCTCACTGTGTATCTACGTTCCTATTACAGTCAATAGAGACCCTGCTCAATTCTCAACATCCTGCCCAAACAACACAGGTATCTACTGCCACAGGAGAGACCCTAAGGTTTCCGACCAGTTCCAGCTGCTGGCCCAGAAGGGTAGAGACCTCCCATAGGTCCTACGTCATATCCGCCATGACCATAAGTATCCTGGCATGTCAAATGGCACACACCTATAACGCAGGCAGTACATTTAGGTGCCAATCTGGAGTTGGGTCCTGCCCTTCATCTCTAAACTTAGGGAAAACTGGCAAGCCTTTCTCGCTTAACTGACTACTCGCTAGTGATCCTAATCCTTTTGTTTAGATATTTATTCTATTTTTTTAGATGTTTTCTCTTTCATTCATTATCATTTAAACTGCGGATTTCATATTACTCTCACATATTATTTCTTTATGTGTTAACTGTATTGCACTGTTTTCTGTTCATACACTGTATTATCTACTAATGATCTCAGGCAAAATTCCGTTTGCAGATAACTTTGAGAGCCTAGTTTCTACAGGAAAGATTTGCTGAACTCTTTTGATTTCCTGTTCGTGTCTGGGAGGTCAACACGCAGAGATTAACATGTAAAAAACTGTTCAGATAAACTGGATGAATTTACATTAGCCAGACAGCTGACTACCAAGATCTCCTGGGTAATGGGGAAAGTCCCAACAGCAAGGTAAAAGGCAAGTGTAGTCCCTATTTATAAAAGGAGAAAAGAAAGGACAGAGTAGAAGCTATAGACAAACCAGCCTAACCTGAAAACATTCTAGAATAAATTTTGAACACACAAAGCAGTTAGCACAAATTTGTCATGAGCAAACACTATCAAACCAACATAATTTTCTTCTCTGACAAAACAGATTTGCTCAGTATATCATAGGAATGTAGCAAATGTGATATAGCTCGACCTTAGTATGGCTTTTGACTTTGTCCTACATGATGTGCCCCATAATCTAACCACAGAAATATTCTTCAGATGAAATAACCCACAGCTGGTTGCAGAACCAGGGTCAGTGACCGTATCACTGGTTCATATGAACCTGTGAATCATTACAGGTGTGCCAAGAAGTTTTGTCTTGGGTTCATTATCTTACAGTATTTTCATTAATGACTTCAATGATAACCAGAGAACAAACTTACGAAATAAAATAGTATAGAGGAGGGGATGCAAGCACTTACTACCCTAAATATCCTTGATAAACCAGAGAAATGGTCTGAAATCAACATGAAATCAATGAAACATGAGTGTAAAATACTCTTCCCAAGAAGGAAAAAAACATAAGCACAATTGCAAAACAAGTCTATTTGGTTAAGCAGCAGCACAGCAGAAAAGGATCAACAGGGACCACAGACTGAATGACGGTTGGCATGCTAGACAAAAACATACAAATGTCTTTCTGGAGCAGCACATCAACAGGGAAGTCCATTCTGTTCAGGGTTTAGAGCCTCAGCTGGAGAGGTATATCCAAGTATGGGGCACCACAATTTAAGACTTATGCATCGAATCAGAAAGAATTCAGAAAAGAACAATCAGCAGACAAAATATTTGGAAAAAAATTATTATACCAGACTATTCAAATCTATTATGCCTGCTTGTACCACTAGAAAGCCACGGGTTCAACAGTAATAGATAAAAACATCACATTTGCTTGCAACCCAGATACACAAAGGATGAAAACCGAAACATACAGAAAGACCTGGCCCGTAACAAGAAGCCGTAGCTTACAGAACACAACGTTTTTTTCTTATATCTCTAAAACAGGCTTTCTGAGCTAACTCTGGAACGCGTCTCCTTACACTTGTAATTCTTCCCCTGCTGGACGTGCCTGCCGGTACAGGATCTTACATCTGAAGTCTGGCAGACCACCTACATTTCCCTGAACACCATGAAAGCTTTTGTCAGCCTAGTTTCTGTAGCTGAGTTTACACTAGGCGATTTTGTCAGGCAGCAGTGGGGAGGACTTGTATGTGCATGTGATGTTGTGGTGTTTTTTTATACACATAGCTCTAGCTGAGAGGGGTACACCAGCATTACCCTGCAGAAGTGACCATAGCTGTGGTCACGCAATTGGCAGAAATGGCTACGATTTGCTTCCAGCAGGTGTTTAAGGGGCTTCAATCCACTTTGCACTGAGGAGGGGTGCTCACACGCACTCCTGCAAGCTCTTCTGCAAGCTTTGCTGCTACAGTAGCAACCTTCAGCTGATGGACATTAACAAGCAGCTGGGTAAGGGGCAAAGCAAAGGCTCCTATCTTTAACTGCCACATTATAGCTGGCCTCACCTCCAGCCCAGGCCTCACCTCCAGGCAAGTATCATCACTACTTCAAAGCCGCTGGAGAGAACGAATGCAAATCTGTCAGTGATGGCAAAGTTCCGCTGAGATTAAACTTATTTCCACAGTGCATTACTTCCAGCACCCCGCTGTTACAAAGCAGGTGTTTGGATCACTAGTTGTTATAAGCACAAGGAAGAAAAACAATCATAGAAGTATGGCAACACTCACAGGAACACAGCATGGAATAACATAGCCATCTTTGAAGTTTAAAAGAAGAGAGAGAGAGCAAACATAAGAGCCACATAATTAAACATAAACATCTGCATCTATTCGAGTCTCTAAACCTGAGTGAGCTGACCTGTGCTCCCTTTATTGGCAATGGAGATGTAGTCAGCTGAGCCTAGGGAGAAATTCATCTCACCCTAATGCAGACGTGCAACATAGACTCATATGAACCGCACTTCAGGAGCACATACTTACATTCTTGACTATGAAGGGAGCCTGAGATAACAGGAAATATTCCTATATTTCATTATACTTACGTAACAGGATCAGGTTTAGACACCTAAGGTTAAAATGAAATCCCACCCTACATGTGTGATGAAAAAAATGAGGAACATACACAGAAAGCAAAATGGAACGAAAAAGCTAACAATATTAGAAAAGAAAACAGTTCCAATAAAATTGATTAATAAAATAGTAATCTGGAACTGTGAGCTAGCTGGGCAGAATTATTTTCCACCTGACAATGCTGATTTGAAAAAAATGATATAAATCTGCAAAGAGTTTGTTAGTTCTGGCAAGGTCTACAAAGTTAACCCAGTGCCAAGCCTGGAGGAAAATGCCATAATCAAAAAAAAAAGTTGAGAAGTTAATTGAAATTGAAACCATGCTCTCATTGTCTTCTCTTAATTACTAAAGTTCAGATGGTCAAAATTTTGGTAGGCTACTTATTTTTCATATGGCTAAAAGGAGTGACAAAAAAGGACGTCAAACTACATTATTTTGAGAAGTGTTGTGAGAGAAAGTAAATGGAAAACAATGGCTTCTCCGAAGAGTAACAGATACCAGTTTAAGCAAATATTCCTATATTTCATTATACTTACTGAAATATTGCTAGTGATGTCCCGTCTGCTATAGTAAATGCTTCACAAAATACTACGTCTAAGTAATTTTTAGCTGCAACTGATTGAGTTCTATGAAACTACGAAAAGATATTAATGAATAATTGATGAAATTATGTCCAGCTCCAATATGGCATATGTAACTTGCGGTGGGCACTGTTTATAGAGCCGGGGACTGCTGCCTTTTTGGTTGGATCTGATAAACACATGTAACTTTGCAAAAATGCACGCTCTTGCAAACTTACCACTGATGACTCTCTGCATTCATGGCATCCAGCTGGATGGCCTTTTCAGCTTTACTCCTTCCTGTAAAAGGAGTATGATATATTAAAAGAGTTATTGTACTCTTCTACATTTTAAGAAACACCCAAGAACTAAGCAGTCAGATAAACTCTAGCTGCAAAGGAGAAATTGTGCCTTCTTTCTTAAGATATTTAGATGGACAATGTAACATTATGGTTTTAAACCATGTATACACACACACACGCACACATATATGTAATTTTAATATTTTCTCTTATATAATTCAATTCAGATTCAGCTAAATTGGGGAAGAATTGGACTGAACTGCTGAAAGAGGCTGTGGTGCAGCTAAGAGGACAGACCCTTAAAAGCTCATTACAGAAGCACCTTGTCAGAACCAAGCAGAGCTGTTTTCCACCTTGGGTACAGGAGTGAACTAGGTGAAGTTCCTTTCCAGCACAATAATTTCCATTAAGTTCCAGTTTTAACTGAGTAAAGAAGACAGCAGGTGATTCGATCAAATCCATGCTCCCAATAAGAAGTTCAGAGGAGACGCTTGCTGTTTGCAAAGTCTCAGCTGCAACCAATTAAACCACACTGACATTTCTGCATTACAAGTTAACTTCCTAAAAACAAAGGGCAGCATACACAGTCCTCCAACTGAGTGGAATGAAAAAAAAAAAAAAAACCACAATCTACTGCCAGCTCCCCCACAGCCTCAATCTCTCTGCACCACTTCCAAAAACCAGATGAAAAAGGCTGCCCCCACCCACCGCTTTAGGAGAATGAGCCAAACACAGCTGATTACGTAACACCTAAGACCTACTTTCATTCCACCATTCCTTACCTCTTCCTGTCTTTTGCTATGCCATTATCTTCCATCAGCTAAAGCTACATTTAATCACTGATAAAAGCAAAGGATCCAGTAATAGAGTTTACCACTGTATTTTATTTTTTGTCATAACCCTCACTGGACTGGGTGATTTCCATACAAAGAAGCCAAGTTGCTACCAAAGCAAAGACGGCATCAATCAAATAGTTAAGGCAGTGTAAGTCTTCATGAGCATTAAGATGACAATAGGATAGGAACGGGGACTTTGGACAAGCTGATGCTGGCTGTGGCATACTTAACCACAGCACAAAGGGTCACGCTGCCTTTCAGGATAACAAAGGGTAGTCAAAACTGCTCTGTCAGGGATGTCACTGCCAACAGAACAGTAAGTAGCAAAAGAGGGAGAAGAGTTACAAAAACCAGAATAACCTGAACTTGGAATACAATTATAAAACCTTTAATTTGGTGCAGTAAAAAGGGGAGAGGCAATGGAGAAAAAGAGGAGGGAGGCATATTCTCAGACAGAGGCAAAAAGGATTATTTTAAGAGAATACGTTGAACAGACAGCAGAAGAGTGACGTGGGTAGAAAAGAAGTAAGTTTGACTGTAATCAAGAGAAGAAGGCCCAAAATAAAAGAGAAATGTAAACCACTCCTCTCCCCAAAATGCCTCTAAACAGTGAAAGAAAGGGTCATACCCTTAAAAGCAACATAGAAAAAGAGCTGTGAAGAAGGAAATTAGAACTTTCTCGAGGATAAGTTGTCAAAACAGGGCACCTGGGGAGAGATGCCTGGAAGCAGCAGCCTCCGTTGTCATACAGGACTATTGTTTCTGTTAGACAGTGTTTCCAGATTCCCAAAGTATTAGCCCCATGACCACCACAAAAGAGGTTGCTGATTTGCAGGACAGCTTCTTTGCCACAGGAAAGAATTAAAACAAATCTTGGCTTTGCCTTTCCATTTATTCCCCTCTCTCCCAAAGATGTAATTAAGAAGCTGTGCTGACATCTGTCTTTTTTTACATTTTGTTTCCATATGATTCTCATTAAAATAAAGGATTTTAGGACACCATCTAGAGCCAACAGCCCTCAACTGTGACTGACAACACTTCTCCTACACCACTTCTGCATCTCTCCAGTGCGAAAAGAAGAGACTGAAGCTGTATAATGTGGCCGTTTGTTGTGCAAAACATTTTTATTATGGTATGCAAGCTCCCATTTATTGGACTGGAAATGGCTTGCGTTGGAGAACTTAAGCAAGAATGCTCAAAGCACGTTTTACTACATTCAGATGACATTTTACATAAATATTTTTCCTTGACTTACCATCAGTAACATACTTTTTCTTTTCCTCAGCATCTGTAGTCATCTCAAACAGATCTCCGTAAGCGCGAGCAATTCTCCAAAGAAAGCCTGCACAGTTTTCATACTGGAAGTAGAGGACAACTGGATAATTAAACTCATCCAAATGAGACTTATACAGTTTGCTTTCATAAAAGTTAGAGTAGTTTTGAGGAATACAGCACGAATCTTTGGTGTTTTGCATCCTTCTGTGCTAGCTTTGTGAGAACCACATGCTCAATTTTTCCACTATCACAGAAGGTAACTTTGGTAATAGCCTGCAATGGCTAAAGAGGTTTTATTTTATAAGTCATTTTTACAGGTCTTTTTTAATTAAAAATAAAAAGACAATCCAGTAAAGCACAACAGGTCCCTGAACGATGTATATTTTCTTTAGGCATGAAATAAGCACCATACTCACTCATAATTCTTATCACATCTACCCATCTGTATATTTCAATATGTAAATGGCAATAAAATCAGTATCTGTCAAATCAGAAGAAGCTGATACACTGAATTAAGCATTGTGCATCACACCACTTGGAAATTTCATTACAAGTTACACACGTACACAGTAAAGTTAAAAGTCACATGAAGTATACCAGAAAACTATAAGCAGTTTACAGACTCATTGTTTGATTTCTTGAGAACATTTGGTCTTGTTATTATTTAATGCCACAGGACTTTCTCATACAGGCCATTTTAAAACCAGTAAAAATAAGGATCATTTATCTAGGAAAAAGCCCATAGTATCATCCTCCGTTGCATGCAAGAACACACACACCAAACAGAGCCTCAGAGTTACTGCACCTGGGCTGGATATGAAATAGTAAAACTTCTATGCATGCCCAAGATGAATACTGGCAATACCTGAAAAATTTTCATTTTCACTATATTTGAAAAATAGGCATGGAATTCCATCTCCCACTTCTGTGTGCATTTTAACGCTTACATTAAGGAAGTTCTCAAATACAGTGCTAAGCATAAGTTAACAGCAACGTAATACGAAGTTTACCCTTTAATACCTTGTCCTCTTTCTCAAGCAGCAGTCTGAAACTTTTCTTCTTATCATCCTCTGAACCCTTGTGCAAACTGTCCACCTGCTGCAAAAGGTTAAATAACTCTTTTTCTTCTTCTGATCGCACAGCAACATCAGGCGATTTCATCCATCCCTTTTCTTCCTCAGACTCTCCTTCAGTATCAGTATGAGCTGTAATATAACTAAAATAGCAGAAAATGATAACTATGTTTTCTCAAGATATTGGTAAAGCATTGCGAAATTCAAATGCAAAAACTTCAGAGCACGATTTCTGCCAGTTGTGAAACCTTAAGGGATTTTTTGTTCATGGTAGTAAGCTTTTTATTATTATAGTACCCCTACCTTCAAAGGGACAGCACGACCATAATACCACACATAATAGGCAAGTAATTACATTATATCCTCCCTAACAATGCATTCAAAAAATTAAATCTATATTAGAAACATGTGTCCTTGTGGTTCAAATGCAGAACACTACAAATCATAATGCATATTAAGACATGCTCTGCAACCCTGAATAGGCCTCCACAACACTCTGCCTCAGTCTTCCAATGTTTTGAAATTGAAGCACTTACTAACCAAAACAGGACTGCTTTTAAGAATCACACAGTGTTTTGTTAAACACTTCGAAGATCACAGACACAATTTAAATATAAGCAGTAACATCACTATCGTCATTTTTTTTACTTATTTCTTCTGTACATTCTGAAGATCAGAATATCTGAAAATGGGAAACAGCTTGTATTAATTCATTACTCTTAGGGCACAAGAACTCAGCACAAGAGAGTCAAGGACAAACAAATATTTACAAAAGCCATAAATTCCATGCAGAGGTAAGTGAGTGGCCTTATTGTCCAAAGCGCTAAGCATAGAATCGGGTCCTCAATTTTCAAATAGGAGCAACTGAACAGCATTATTTGAAAAGTAGCCATTTGGTTATGCACTAAAGATGGACAGAAAAGCCTGATCTTTTGCATTTCCATTTTTGAAAATGTTGTTCCTATCAGAAATGATTATTTAAAAGTATTATCTGCTAAGTTCAGAGATTTTAAATGGCCACTATGAGCAGAAAAGAAAGCACGAAATGTACTATATGCATTAAGAAACTCTAACTAGTTCAGGACAGTAGTCCTATTTCTTTCCCTGGAAATATAACCAGTACAGTATGTTAGCAATATAAATAGAGCTTTATAATTATGGCTTTCAAATACCCTGTTTTCAATAAATTGCTATAGGAAGTGACCAGAATTAAAATACCACCAGATACCCTGGCTGTAGCCTGTAATATGCAATTGTAAACTTTCATTTAAATTACGGAACTGCCAGATGTGGAACGATGATTTCTCTGTAAAATGAACCCAGTAATATGGGAAGGAGGAGTCAAAAAACTTCTGAACAGCAAAAAAGCAAACATACATACATGTTCGAATGGAAAAAATAAGGCACAGTAGAGAAAAGAAGGGAAATGTCATAGATTCCCATAGAATTATAACGCCAAATCTTGATACTGCTGAAGCCAAAGACAAATCCTATGCTGTATGCTGCAGCTGTGCTTATGCACAGTGAATGTTTACTTTGGTTTCCTGATGCGTCTTTAAAAACACAGTGTATTCTTCCACAGTTATTTTGAAGCAGCAGCAGAGCTACATCATATATAAAGAGCACAAGCAGGAACACCAACTTAACCAGCAGTGCACGAGATTTGGGGGTGGGGGGAGGGGGGATGCTTGAAAAGTACTCAGATTGAAGTTATGTTTGAAAAGCACTTTTCTTCCTTTCCTGACTTGATTTGGGTTGCTCTTCCAATTAAAAGAAAATTTGTGCAATTACATACTTTAAATCCTGGGTGTCAGATAATATAAAGTAGCAACTACTAAGCAGTAAAAGGAATTACAAATTCCTGAACAATACTGTAACACCAGTCAGTTCCAGACATTTGGGCACTGCATGATATGACACCTAAGCGTGTAGGTATGAAAGAAAGAAACCAGCGTTCGGAATTCAATCTTGGTATTGACATCTCTGTCTTCGCTGCACAAACGTCTCAAATTTCTAAAATCATTTCCATTCCAATGTTGGAAAACAGACAAAAGCGATTATCTTAAGAGGTTACTCTCTCAGCAAAAATGGAAAGGCCAAGGTTGGGCTGAGAGCCACCCCTGTCACTCCAAACAAGCTCAGCAGAAATTTTCAGCAGCGCTGTACTAAACTGGCATGACCAAGTATCATATTCCAGCAGGTTAAGTCATATACAAATATTCTTCCAACAACTCAAATGAAAAGAAGCATGCAAGCAGGTCACTGACTAACAGCTGATGTGGAACTCACAAGGAGCAAAATATAAAACATCACGGAAGAACGATCTCCTAAGATCAGCCCATAATGCATTAATTCTCTTCTCATGCTGCTACTCCTAGAGAAACATGATTGCCAGATCACGTCTGTGCTTAGAAGGAGAAGGAGGCAGGACAGGTCCTTTGTTTCCACCCCTCACTATCCTGGGAAATTCTCTCCCACCTTCTGTATTCCTGTCTTACAAGTCCTCAAAGAATTTAAATGTTCAACAGACCATCTTAAACCTTGGTAAGAATGTCATATATTTCTTTTTACTTGATGACCTACATGCTTTAAAGAATGTACACTAGTACCTACTAAACAATCCAAGGAAAAATGAAAAACATCAACACTCTTCCTCCACCCCCATGTTAGGCAATACAATTTCTGGGAACTGCAAAAAAACATATAACCTGCTGACGTAAGTCAAAAGACACTGAGCTGCACTAAGGGGCTGGGGCATCTATACAACCAAAAAAAAGAATGCCATTCTCAAATGAAGTAACACAAAACATTTAAAATCTCCCAGTTTGGCCCATGAACAGTGTTTCTCGTGAGAAGGACAGAAATTAATTGTCCTGATACCAATTTGTCCAAGGGAACGCAAATGATTCTCCATGCTTAAGCTTAGACGTGCTAGTTGTCCCTCCAGAGATGCATCAGCATTCCTCAAAATTTCTGTTTTCTTCCCTCAGAAAACTGACAATACAGTGCCTTCAGAGGGTCTTCTCCTCCTCTTCCTCCTTCCCTGGCTCCAGAGCTGACATTGCTGGCTCCAGGCATTTCCCAAAGAACCAACACAAAGTCGACAGCTTTTACGGGGCTCCAGAACTCACTCGTGATGAGTTCCTGCCTCACTCATCAGGTACCCCAGGCAAACTCCTACACTGGCTGGGAGCTACTGAGGTAAAATGACAATAAGGTAATTTAATCAAGTATAAAACATTAAATATCACTTTTAACATTTTGCCAAACTAGGCATAAAGAATGTTTTCTGTTTTGCTTCTGATTACATGAATGTTCTTCCTAGCTCTCTGTTCAATTCTTGAGGTAGTCAGACCAAAACATTTATCTTAAGCATGAAAACATAACATGTTATGAAGGCAATATAGACTGCTAAAAAATAAACACTAGGATTTTTCCTAAAAATTTGGGTAAGGTGTACTTTACCATTTTGAACTGAAGCCAGTTTTACTTCAAGACAGGAAATCCTTACAGCTACTTAAGGACCAAGTAAGAGCCTGAAAGACATTGTTGATATAAAACTACAACAAGAAGAGCTAGATAACTGACTTCCACAAACTCTCTAGCAGGCTTTTATATCTGCTCACTCTAGAAGTAGAAGAGCAAGCTGTATGTTATGAAGAGCCACACTGCAAAACAAATTTATCACCACTAAACACAAGAAACAGAAGTGCGGAATTCCAACACATCCTAAAAATCCAAGAGATGATGAGAGTAACTGAAAAGGCAAATTAAAAACACAGGAGAAAGAGTCATCATGGTTTGCTTTACAAAGGCTGCATTTAACTACTGGTAGCTGCTATTTCACCTGGCATTTTCCTGAACTTGGTTTTATCAAATGATGAAAAGAAAAGTGAATACTTACATGTGATAAACACTTTGACCAGTATCTGACAAAATGCAAGAACTTTAAAAATGCGTGCACTCTGTGCCAGCTTGTTTTCACCTTTATTACCAATACATTTCATTTAAAAGAGAACAGTGGTAAGATTGTTAAGGAGCAACAATCGACCAACCGGACTTTGCTGGATCGCAAAGGGCTGTTCAAAGTTCAAAGAACAAATGGAAACTATGCTGGGGACTCACCATGCTGTGGTTAAGCTGTGCAGTAATCCAGGCACCTAGCACTGCATTAAAAAATCTGAGCCACATAGTATGAAACGCTGCTGTGGCATAGACTCACTTTCCTGGCATGAAAACTGCTTTGGAGTAACTTTTTATTGGCGACACTAACCATAAATCCAATCTGCTCACAGCACTCCAACTTTTAGATAGACGAGATATTATCTGTTGTCTCCCAGCCAACATAAAAAGCATAAGCTGACACAAACACTGTCTAATCCACTCCAGCTAATTAAATAGGAAGATGCTTATGTGTCAACACCTGATCTGGATCAAATTTGCCTCATACGACCCAGCAGAAGGCAGAGCCATTATTAATGATAATGGCCTCAGAGAAGAAATCTCCCAAATCAGATTCTTAGGTCAGCTGAGGATTGCACTGGAAACCTATGGGCAGCAAAAATGAATGAATAAATGAAAAGTGAAATAAAATTCCCAAGCAGCCAAGAGAAATATTTCTCTCTCTCCTTCTCTCTCTCCCAAGAATAAACTATTTCCAGGAAAAATAGTGAAAAAAAATTGAAGAAAAAAGAGTTACTGCGGTGAATCTTTCTGGTGACTGATGCCAAATGTCATCTGAAAAGCTTGGGTGCCAGGCTAGCTGAAGATTGGTGCCAAACGTGGCACTGAGGCCAATGGTTTGTCACTGCTGTATTTGGGAGGAAACAGCTTCAAAATGGCAGAGAGGTCAGAACTAGGTGACACACCCCATCACAGCTGATCCATCTAGACACCATTTATTGTATTTGTAAATGAATGAATCCTCCAAAGTTAAAGACCACGATCTTTGCCAATGAATAATGTAAACTGAAACAAACTATTAAGAATAGTCCATAGGAGCACACAGACTATAAACAATGGGCTCTTCAGCAACCATATAACGTACAATCCATTCAGGGTCCCCTCCATTCAGGCTAGCTGTTATTATGTAAAAATGTATCTCGTTTATATAAAAATGCGTGATCTTTTTTCACTTCCAGAAATATATGATAATTTTTGAAAGGCAAAATACAAAGCTTCTAAGCTTCTCTGTCCAAGGGGCTGAACATCAATTGCAATATTGAGAATATAACTAGAACAGATCAAAGCCACGAAGGTTACACGTGAGCCTGCCAGCATCAAATATTTTATCGAAAAAATAGGTAGTATTAAAACCTCTTTAGGGAGAAGTTTGCAAATCTGAAACCAATGTAGTCTTTCAACATAAAACTCTTAAAATGACTTCATTTGTCCATTCCCAGCATCTAGCCATGTGTCAGTTAAAACCAGAAGTGCTGAACACAAGCAAAATCCTGCCTTCTAGACAATGAAAATATTGCTTGACAGTGAAACACACTGTATGCACTTTAGATAGATAAATAAAGCAAGTGAAAAAAAGAGAACTAATTAATCAAATGAAACAAAACTATCTTAAACTCAGAGAAGATATGCAAAATGATCAATCAATAAGTACTGCTTAGGAATTACCTTCAAAAATATGCATATGAAAGTAATCTGTGTTAGTAAAAAAAAAAAACCTCTTTTCAGAAGAGATAAAAAAAATAGCCTTGTTAAGAACATACTCCAATGATTAACACTATCTATAACCTTGAAGAATTATCTTCCTTCCTTTCTTCTGACTGTATGCAAACACTCATTAGAGAAGGTCTTTCTCAAGGACACATTCAAAGCTCTTGCACACGAGAATCATTTTTCTGTCGGATCATCTCACAGCTTTGCTGTCACACAGAAGAACCTGAACAGCCAAGTTTCCTTGACAAGTTCTCAAACTGCAATGCATCTCTCCAGACCATAAAATGTAATCTTCTTAACTGCTAGGTATGGAATAACCTCTGCACTCAGTCTATGAATCTGGTAAGTCTAAAGCACCCGTTTGTGAATTATCTACATCTCCAGATATTTTACATGCAATACAAAGGCCTCTGCAAATCAACTAAAGGACAAGCCAATCTGAGAAACTAATAGAACTGCAATGTCTCTATACCACATGAAGGGGAATATGTCTTTGAAGATCCCTGCTAATATTTAAGGATTTAAAATAAAAATAAGAGTAAGAACCGATTCATAATAGAACTGACAGGTCTCAAAACACAGTGCAAAAATACAAGGCTCATGAAGCATGTGGGCTGGGAAGTAACACAACAAAAAATTCTCCCCACAGGAACTGAAGAGACATTTTGAGGAACTCTTCAAAAAAAAGAACTGTATTAATTATAATATACAGCACATTGCTGCCTTTAGAATATTAAAGTATCTTAAAAAAGAACACACGACAGGATAAGCAATTTACAGACGTACTGATGCCTGCGCTAGTATGTATAACACATCGAGCAGGTGGCACAAAAACTCAGTTGCTGCAAACATACCTATGTTAAATTTCATGTAAGCATCTAATTTGATTACATCAAAACACATTTCAGTTTGGCTTATCTGCACAAATAAATGCGAGGTGCATGATACTAGTCTTGATCTAGAGATAGGAACATTGCAATCGAGGAAAGTAACGCCATCACCATTTTTACATTATGACCGTAGGGTGTACTGGGTAACATAAAAACACAAAAATACAGCCCCTCCCTCAGGCCATTAACCACAGTGGGACTCCAGATGTGATCAAAACTAGGAACTTACTACCTTACTGAATCGGTGCCCAAAATCCCTCACGATTTTTAAGACAGGGAGAACGGCATACAGTAACGGATATACATAAACATATAGCCATTTGTACCTGTGTTGCATTCAGACATAACTTTCATAGCTATGCAATACCTGTTAGTGGAACAATGTAATAACTCACCTTTAAAGCCAATGGAAGACAATTATCATGAAAAGCACAAAACGTTCCTGCAGTTTGAACACAGCACTGTCAGAGTAACATGACTACTTTCTTCCTAGAAGCTCTGGTAAAATCACAGCATTATTCAGAACTTTGCTTTCCATTACATAGCTATGTAGCAATACTGCATCAGGCTGCTACCAAACGTAATGTAAAAATCTGCATTATGCTTGGCATTGAATGCACTACTTAACACACAGTGAAGTTTTAGAGGTGGTCACCCAGAGCTTCCTCTCACTTGAAAATGACTAATCTGACTTCTTTGAGGATTTTTCCCTGAACACAGAGAAAGACAAAATACCCATCAAACAAAAAAAAACTAGGCTACTGCTGGCAACACGCAGTTTCACATATGCCACGATATAAACGTGCCCTGCGCGTGCTGTGCGCTACACACGGTATACTATTACCGACTCACCCTCCTTCGCTTTCCGCCTCCTCGGAGCTGGTGGTTTCCGCTGCGCCCGGATCTGCCTCAGTTCTTCTCCGTCGGGCTGCTCTGTGCGATGGGCTGCCCCTCGGAGCGTCGCCCTTGCCTCGCAGCTCCGCGCGGACAAGGTCTTCCAGCTTGGGAAGAGCTTCTTTAAGGGACGCCACCTCTCTCTTCAGCTCGTCCACACTGACTAGCAAGCCGTTCAGTTTTTCTAGGATCTGAAGCTGTCTTCCGTGCAGGACCACCACAGCTCCCTGCTCGCTAGGAGCTTCGTTTTGCAAGCCCACCGCATTAAACCCTTTCCCCGCGGCGAGCAGCGCAGAGGTACTCACGGCTGCGCCGGGCTTTCGCATCTTATGGTACCAGATGAGGAACAGGCTTATTCCAGCGGTCCCTGCCATTACGCCCAGTATTAGGCCTTTATTTTCGAAGTGAGACATTGCTGTATTCTCCTGAAATTGTGAGACAATAACCGAAGGGGGGGGTGGGTGTTAAAAATGTTTTCTTACTCTCAGCGGAATACCTACATTGTTTTTAACCCACAAAAGCGTGGGAGCGGCGTGACCGGAGCGGCCGCAGGAGCTGCAGCGCGGCCGGGGCCGCCCGTGCGAGGCAGGATGGGCTGCGAGGCCCAGGGGCG